CCCGTGCCTGTGCCCGCTCCCATGCCCTTGCGTGTGTCTGCTCGTGCCCATGCCCGTGCCCATGCCCATGCCCGTGCCCATGCCCATGTCTATGCCCATGTCTGTGCCCATGCCTAAGCCCATTCCCGTGCCCATGTCCATGCCCATGCCCATGCCCATGCCCAAGTCCGTGCCCATGCCCGTGCCCGTGCCCAGCAGACACATGGAGTTCCGGGGTGCAGCGAGCCGATGGTTGAGGGGCTGCAGCGTACCCTTCCCCGGTACGCACACATACAGCAACCTCACCTCCCACTTTGGAGAGGCTCTTTGCCAGTTAAATCACAGAATCAATCACAGAAATGATACAATTTGTAGTGGAATTAATGAACAAATCAAGAATTTTCAAAACATTTCTGGTGATCTAGAGCCACGGGCTGACGACTCTGGTCCGGTGTGTCGTTACAGCAGAGGATGGTTTAATGACATGGATGTTCTAGAGGATAAAAAATCTGTCAATTCAGTGCTTTCAATATATGAACAGAGTGTTAAAAGGCGGCACATTTTTGGTTGGTACCCGCAGGTGCAGTGCTGTGCCGCATCCAAGTGAGGGGGGATCAGCGTGGCTCCTGGGAACAGACTTGGTCTCCATCCCTCGGCCTCTCCCTCTGGGAATGGAGGGGCTCACCCACGGCCAGCCCTGGGCTCTGTCCCCACGGGGCCGTGGGTCCCTCGCTGAGGGCTCCAACAGCTCGGACCCCCGAGGAGGGGGCAAGTTAACACCAAGGGTGGCTCCAGGCTCCGGAGATGTGCAACTTGCATCTCGTGTTATCAGAAAAGAACGAAGTGGCAAGTGGAAGTGGAAATGAAAATTGTTAATATCCCTTCTCATTCCTCTCCCAGATCCAGTGGCTTTTTGAACATAAAAAAAAGAAATTCATAATTTGCTTCAATATGCTCCATTTAGAGTATTTTGTACATCACAAACTTGAGATTAAAGAGAGCGCCTTTCTCAAATGCAGATTAATTTTGTTTTTCAACTTCTTAAGCTTCTCTTAACACCTTTTCTGCAATCAGTACAGTATCTTTTAAGTTAATTAGTTCTGGAAAAGAATTACTAGTGTAATTTGTGATGAGACCTCCCTCCCTTTCATTCACCAGACAGAGAAGCATCTGATGTAGATAAAAAGGACCACTGGAGGCTCCTCTAGTGAAGAGAGGTGGTTAGAGAGGAACTCAGATAACATCTTCAAACCATTTATCCCCCTTCAGCTCTGTAAATGGGGGGAGCTACGGTTTTAGCTGCCGGGAAGCGTACATTCCCATAACCTTTGGAGAGTTTCCTCTTGAATTATTTAGATCCCTAAACACCGCACATCCCACACAGGGCAGCACCTCACAAAGCCCGTGGTGCCCATTTTTCCTGTGCTGGGGGGTCCTCCAGGACTGGTTCATCTTGGGCCAACACCTTTCTTCTTCCTGTCAGCTTACACACCCTGGAAATCGCATCGTTTCTGCCCGCTCATCTCCTGCCTCCAGCAGCTTCACACGAAGTTTTTGGCAGCTGCTTTGGGTGCTGCTGCCCACCTAGTCCAAGGAGCCTCTGCCCAGGGATGAAGGCAGTGACGCATCAGCTCTGCACCAAATGCTCCTGTCACGCTTCTAAATCACTCAGAAAATCACAATAATTTTCCACGGCTCGTTAGCCATCACAAACTCCTAACTCCAGGTCCTGCACGGTTTCCGACTGGAACTGCAGGTTAGCACAGTTCCGCCCGAAAACTGTCCGGGGGCACCCGACAACACAAGCAACATCTGCTTGATGAACGATGCTGCAAAAGGCCCTGTGAAGCCTTCTATGAATTTTGGGTTCTACACAGACCTGAATGGGGCTTAAACATTTTAAATCAATTATGCGTATCACTGCTTTGCTGAAAAAGGCTGGATGTTAGCCAAGCTAGAGCTCCCACATTGCAACGCCACTTCTAGCTTCGTCTCAATGGCTGAGGAATTGGCCTTGAGTGAACGACAGCCACAGGTCTTATCAAATTCTCGTGTGTTTATGTATGTCGGTGTATTTTAACATACCGGAATCATCCACGTTGAACTTTCACAACATCTCTTCGACTCGCTGTCGAGTTCAATAACATCATAGATCAATTGGTAGAGCATAAATTTACCTTCCGAGGAGCCCAAAAGCTGACACGTTAAGATGACTGGTATCCTCCTCTGGAACAGTGTTTCATCTTCTAATAGAGAACAGGAGTGACAGTCGAAATTTCTGGCGCTTCCCATCCTAATGAAAGCCCAGAGACAAACCCGGCTGTCGGCACAAGCCACCACCCTGCCCGTGAAGACGGGTTAGGGCAGGAGGAGGGAGCGGCCGCGTCACATCTCGGCCAGGTCCTGGCAGCATCCAGGAGCTTCCTGACTCGTAAGGCGAATACCCTTCTTTTAGGGAAGGTAATCCTGTTAGAAATGTACACGGCAGTAACTTGACGATACTGGCTTCCAATACCAATACTTTGCATTGAAGCTGATTAATTAAATCTGAATGCAAAACTTGTATGTAAAAAAAATTTTCATTGAAGCCTCTTTTCTCCCCTATAAATGCCAAGTATAGTAGTGCTCAATCTGTCCCCTTCTACAGAGTTGGTATTTCTAAGTGTGATCACTATCCACTTTTCTGCTTTGAATGGGAGGAGGTTTATTCATAATTTGCAACGGCCACAATTTGCAATGGGAAAAGCCTGGGCTATTCGGCAAGACACGTTATTTAGCTGATTCTGACTTGGTTAAACTGATATGCTAAATTAGCAAATAACCTGGGAGAAACTTTGCAACAACTGAAAAAAAAAACAGTGTTGAGAGGAAACTGGCTACTAGCTGTTTTAATGAAAATAAAAGTTCTGTTAAGCCACCATTGAAAGCAACAATCTAATGTTGTCTTACACTATTATCCAACTTTTCAGCCCCCTTATCAGTCCTTAAATGCTACTGACAATGAAGAATGGACTGCATTGGTCAGAGCGTGTCTCGGTTTTCAGACAGTTGAGAATTCAACCCCAGTCCCTGGTACTTGCTTAACCTGCAAGGGTCAGGGCTCTATCGACGTTCCTGGTGTAGGGTCGAAGCCAAGAAAGCAACAAGCAAAAGGGGGAAAATCCTCCGAAATCCCGCTGCTGTTGAGGCAATGGCATTTGTTGGAAAGAAGGCGTCAGGGCGGGGCTGCCCCGTCCCCGTGCTCCGGAGCCCGGGACATCGCCTGCCCCGATGCCCAGGGCGGGACGGCCCTGCCC